TGTCTGCATGAGAATTTTTACCAGTTTTGCAGAGATGCTGTATGTATGTAATCAAGCCTACCACTTAACTAGAGTTTGTTACCACAGAATGGTTGGGGTTGGAAGGGATCTCTGGAGATCATCTAGTTATACCTGGAAGGACTCAGAGATGTGCTGCACTCTTTAACATTCACCACAGTTTTCTCAAACTACTCCACATAGATGCATCCTCAGCACAGGAACASGAGACTCAAGCTCTCATTGTGCACTGACAGGCAATTAACTCAAATGTTTCTGTGAGCATGAAAGGCTAAACGAAAACTGCATATTCTTAGTGTACATGGGGACTTCACAGCCAAGGTCCTGCCTGTTTGCTTCACAGTATTTTTTACCTCTTGGCAGAGGTCATGCAGGAGCAGTCTCCTGGATGATTTTGTGCAGATCCTTTGTGCCGTGCTGAGGTATCCTCTCAGAAAATAGACTGTTAGGGGATGGATGGTATGTAATAACAGGCCATTAGTCATGTCTATTGGTCCATAATGTGACCTACTTTTGATAAAATGAGTGACAAAAGGGACTGATTTAAGCTGTGATTAACCAAGATTTTTTTAGGAAAGTGTGAAATATTCGCTGGCTTAGCTTTTCTCACTTGCACTAATGAAAATTTCTGAGTGGGCTTCTGTATTGAAATTGGCCATAAAATAAAGTTGCTTAAGTGAGGGAAGAAACTTTCTGTGCTTAAAATACTGCAAGGAAAAAAAGGTTTGCTAATTTGTGGAATGATACGTATCTTAATGAAAAAAAATAAAAGTCTGAACTTTGCCAGTTACTGCTGGGTTTGGGACCTGGTAAGACTCTTGCAGATGCTTCCCTCTGACGGTGACTTATTTTAAACATGCCAGTTTTAAGTGCAGAAGTGTTAAACACCCTTTTTTCTCTGTATCAACCGACTACGTTTTGGTTTAGATTCTGTTGAATGGATAATCTTATCCTTTTGTAAAAATAATTGGTTAACATGTATCACTTATTTAATACTGTCAGTTATTGTAAGACTGATATTTTTTTTTAATTGACGGTTTAGAAGAAGCTTTTTATTAAAAGCCCCATACATTAAAAAGGCCATGAGTTACATTAATTTAATATTCATTAACACAGCCTAATTTTTGGGTTTTTTGGCTTTTCTGTGTTTTTTGGCCTTCTTTGGAAAGCCTTGTTAATTCTTGCAGACCTTTTAGGCTGTTTAAAAAACCCAAACCTGCAATGCCTATTTACCTGCTTTGGGCTCTGTGATGGTTTCAATACCTTCAGAGCTGCTCAGAAACTGTCAGACATGAATTTGCTAAAGGGTGGCTACTCTGGTCAGCTCGGAAATGGCAGATGACCTGCTGGTGTGAGAACACCACTTTCACATGCCTTCAGAGGGCCCTCCAGGCACATTCCCAGTGCCCCAGGTGTCTAAAGAGTTATRTATCTGTATCTGGCTATCTGAACTGGCTGACTGGAGGCTTTTTGGTTTGGTTTTTAAATGTGGCTTTCGACTGTGAGTGAGGAACCTGCCTTTGAAAAGGTAGTTGAATTCTGATTTTRATTCCCTTGTTTATGTGAGTCTTTAATTTCTAGATCCAGAATAGATGGGGCTGCATTCAGCAAAAAGTGTTTGTCCTTTAATTTCTGCRTAATTGAATGCCAGCTTTCGACTCAGCTGTGCTGAAATCCATTGAAGAAGAGATATTAGTGTGGTGTTCATTCAGATTTCCATGTTTTAAAGAGAAAAGCTGGCAATATACTCAATTCCCCTCTCCTTACTCTTTCACAATAGCTACTCTCTCTTAATTGCAGTACCTTATGCAATAAACAGTCCCATGGGTTTCACTAAGACTGTTAAGGGAATTGAATACCACAGTGTTAGTAGAAATGGAAAAAATGAATAGTGCTTTTAAGAAGTGCAGCATTTGGCAAAACACTCATAGTTTGTATATATATCAAGCATTGATTCTGGCTTTTTACTTATGAATCAATTGAAATTATTGAAGAAAAGTATCATGTTAATGATGCTTTTATGACACCTGGTGTAACATTTGAGATCCTATTAMATGAATTCTACATTAATCTATTATAGCCTTGATAAACAATTTTTATCCTGTAAAGTATCGCTTGAATTAGTTAAGTTTTTGTATGAAAAATAAAAAACACCTCACATTTTGCAAGTTCCACCAAAAGTAACCGGTGTTCAGTATTGCCWGTATATAAAATGTTGTGCTTAAAACTGCTTTGTTTCTCTTGTGTGTCCTAGTAGGACCTTTGTGGGTTTTTTGTAGCCTTCCCCGTTGCTTCATCACTGACATAGCTGGCCAAGATAATCCTGTGTCTTGCAGCTGTGTACCCTGTACATGTGCTGGCTGTGCTTTGCTGTCCTTGTGGACTCTGTTTTGAGTCATGTGCCCATTCCTCCCATACATGTGGAAAACAGGAGCAGGAAAGGCAGAGAAATTCACATTCGTGTTTAGAAAAATGTGTGTTAGTGTTTTGTTTTAGATGAGTATAACATCAATATTTATATTTAAATGAAGATCAGCTCAACTTAAAACTTGTTGGAATTGCTTTTTGTAGAATTTTTTTCTAACTGGGACTGTTTATCTGCTTTTTTTCTTTTAAATTAGCATGTTTAGGGACCTGCCTTYCTACTGGAGTGATATAGCTATCACATTTCTTCACTCAGGAAAAGGAGAAAAGTGAAACAGAAGTTGAAAGACGTATTTTATTAAAAGAACAAGAAACAAACAAAATAACAGCAAAAAACCCAAACAAACAAACAAAAACTCCACTAGTACAAACAAAATCCCCCCACCCAACCAAAGGAAAAAAMCCCATACCCTTCAAATGAACAAAAAACTCCCAAATCATGTCTTACTTCAGAGGAAACTGACTTTGCAAGTGGCCAGAATATCCATCGGAAACAATTTTTATTTTTGTGTTTATTTAACAACTGTTTCTTGCTCTTGCTGTTGATGGTGGAAGCTGAGCATGAAGCTGCTACTGCTGTTGTCTTCCATTTATTTTGTTTGCTTTTACTCTGCCTACAGCATTCCTCTGCCTCTCTACTTTTAAGTGTTTCCTTTTATAGCTTTGGTAAATTAGCTTTCCCTGATTGACATCGCCTTTATTGTCYCTTTTAGGATTGGCTCTTGTCTGGCTCGATTGCTTACTCTTCAGGAAATTGTTTCTATTGTCTTTAAATTGTCTTTAATAGGGAGGACTGGAATTTCTGTCTGTTTTTCAGCTTTTAGATACAAAACAAAGACTTCCATACTAATATTCTGCGCCCTTCTGTTACATGACCAAGTGTTTTAGACCCCCTTGGAGTTGTAAAGTAACCTTCTGAAATCAAACTCCGTTGGCTTCTTCAGCCATCTTTTTAGTAATCAGCTAACAGCGATGGTCAGCATTGGTTTGGTTATGTCTGTGTTGAACTACAGAATACAATTTTATTCTGTCTGCTTATACTTTAACTAATATAGAAGTTTCCAGTGTGACTAGATTACACTGTATTTACATCTAACACCTACAGAGCTTGCAGAAGACTGGACTGCCTTCTTGAGCTGAGCAGTGAAACCAGTTTTGTCAAAGGTCTTAAACCCTGAAGCAGGGGATTTGCTCGTGATTCAATGCCTTAATTTGGTTGATGCTTTGAGCTAGCACAATTGTTRTAGTCTGCAATCAATTTAGATTGCCTCCAAACTTTCACAGAGAATAAGGGTTTTTTTCTTCTGTAACACACTGGGAGCAAATAGTAAGTTCACTGATACATTGCATGTGCTTTTGGATATTCATCTTCCCACTCTCAAACAGTCACCAACATTATTTCAGGATGTGGAATTGCCTTTCATATGGGAATATTATCAATATATCAAGAATTTTTCTCCAGGAAAGCAGGGTGGTCTGGCATCACCCATCTTTCTTTATCAAATGCTATTGCTGTAACCACTATAATATTGCCTAGGATTTACCTCTTTAATCAGCTGGACTGTCTTAAACATGGCAGAAACAGCAGTTGTAGCTTATAACAGTGCTTAAAGTGGGGTTTGTGTGTGGGTAAGAATTTTGTGATTTTTAATCGCTTGTGGTCATTAAGCTGGATAAATGTGGAACTACTTAAGTACCAAGTGTTGTTTTGGTCTTTGTAGGCAAATGAAGTTTTAGGAAACAGAGACTTTTAAGTGAAATCAAGAGTTATATAGTTCAAAGATGGCAGGAGTTAATTCTGATTCMGATATGAATGTGATTCCTATACAGAGTTTGTAGCTTTCATGGGAATTCCAGAGTTGGACTCATAGTTACTAACAATTTAATTTTTCATTATTAGAGTGGTGGTCTTTGAATATAGGTAATGTGAACTATATGATTCAAATCTAAACTGGAWCGAAGAACTTATGGATTAGTGTTAGAATTTGGATGAGACAGCCTTGGATTTTAGCAGAAGAGTTTGGAGGGCAGAGCACTGCTTGTGTYTCTGTACCATGTAAGTTTTATGCTTTTAGAAAATTGTATTGACTGGGCAGCTTAAGTGCTTGCTGCCTTTCAGGATTCTGAAATTCCRTTGTGCCAAAGGAGTCCTGAGGCAGTAGCTACTTTGGAAACTGATTTACAAAAAAGGCTCTGTTTGGAGGATAACATTATATGCTCCTCATCTCTGCAAGCTGCCCTGCTCTTTTCATTAGTTACTGCTTCTCTAGGAGGCATTCCTCTCATGCTTTTGTTCTAATCTCTTTTTTCACAACATGAAAGAAAATCCTCTGTTTCGTGTGTTCCACGGAGTACCTTTCATCCTTCAAAGTGATGYTATTTATTTTGTGATGTAATTACCTATATGAGTTTGCTTTTGAGCTGTAAAATTAAGTTTTGTTTTTGTTGGCAGGGTTATGTTTGCCCATATACCACATGTCATTGATTGATTACAGTAACGAAGTAAATAACTGAAGGATTTCACCTGTTTTCTTCTCTCCTTTTCCTATTTCTCACAGGTTCGTTGCTAAACCATGTGCCTTAGGCCTTAAAGTCCAAGCCAATGGACCGCAGAAAGCTCAACCTAATGCTATCCTGGAAAAGGTTTTCACAGCTATTACAAAGGTAGGGTGTCTAACTCAAATATTTACCTTATGAACTGGGATGTGGCGCTGTAAATTATGTCTGAACAAACCAAAGCTAACAGATAAATACATTTTTACACCTAAAATCAGAAATGCAAATATTGGGGATGTCATTAGTGTGTCAATTCAAGCGGTTGTGTATCCCTTTGTGATGTCTCCTACAAGCTTTCAATAAAAAAAAAAAAATGCAATTGCCACAGAAACACTTTRTTGGTGCTCTATGATCACCTACTTTTTTTGCTTCTTATCTGTTAGAAATTTTTGCAAAATAGTTGGGTTTTTTTTGAAAAAAAAAAAAAAAAAGAGCTCATTGTGAGCCAGTGAAATTGTTGCTTTCCATGRAAGTTCAAAGCTGTTCCTTCTAGGGCAACTGCCTGTCTTGCAGGTGTCCCATCTACAGGAGAATGAGATAGAAAAGTGGGAGAAACTGACTGAATTATGTTTTATTTGCATATCTTTTCTATACAAGTTTTTCACCCACAACTTRTATCTTTGTTTCTACATTTCTCACCATATGACATCTCAACTAAACCTGTATGTTGTTCTTTCCATGCTTTTGAAGTATCCCGAATTTTTCTGCAAGAGCTTCCCAATCCCACCTCAGTTCCAGGCTGCAGCTGGGCATCAGTGTAAACTTCAGAGAGTATTGAAGTCATAGAGTGCAGCATTTGGTTTATTATCACAGACAGTGAAATATGCTGTGGATCTGTCTTGTGTGCCCTACACTATCCTGAGATCACAACAGCACTTGGTGTGACTTTTGTCCTGCTTTCAGGGAGGGAATTGCATATGCTTTGTTTCTGAAACCTCAAGGGCATGCCTTCACCGACTCAGCTGAAGGAAGAATGGTTAGGTTTTGTYTGTTGTGGGTTGTTTGTTGGGTTTTTTTTTAATATTTCCTTAAATAGAATCTGGTARTCTGACACAGGGCTTGAAATACCTGTGTCAAGAGCTCCAAAGGAAGTATCTACTTTCCTGCAAGAACCAGTTAACTTCTCTCAGAGCAACTGTCCAATTTAACAAGCTGCATTTTTTGAATCCTGTACAGCAGTTCTGTCCAGCCAAACTCCCAAAGGCTGCATCAAACATTTCATTTTTCTAAGGTTACAGTAATTGCTTTTCTTAACCTTGAAAAACTAGTGGATACCTTGGTTGACTGAAAAACTTCATTGAGATGAATGGCAAATACTTCACCCTTCTCTTKTCTCATCCTTTCCTTTCCCTTCTTTTTCCTGTGTTTTCACAGAGGCTGATAGGCTAAACTTCAGCCTAACAAAAGTTTTGCTGGTTTATGTCTTGCAGCRTTTAAAAATTTAAATCTTTTTGTTGTAAGGGCTCTTTATATCCCATTCAATGTTATGTAACTGGCTTGCAGAAATAAGGCTAAAGTTCCAGAAAACAGATTGTCCAAAAGCTTTTTCTGTTTCTTTAAGAAAGGATGTGATCAGGAGAAATACATAAGTAGTACACATGGTTTACTGTACATGTAGAATTGCTGTATGATTGGAGGTTGGTACTGCCCTTGAGACTAAGGACAGACTAATTTTCTTTTCCCTTACCTCTGCGCTATTTGCAGCCATGCCAATGGTATGAGACTTCCACATTTTCTGCTTTGGAGAATTATTTGTGCATATTTAGTTTMACAGAAGAGAAAACAATTCTCACTGTTGTCAGGGTGATTTTCCTTTTGAAGYTGTCACTTTGTTTAATGACCTAATTTTGTAACATTGTCATGCACAAACATGGGATTTATCTTCTTTCTGTATCAGTCAAACTACCTTCCGTTGTGCAACAGTTGATAAGACCAAGATCCTGATGTGGGAGGGTGGAACAGGTATAGTGTGTAGCAGGCAGTGGGGTGTTGTAAGCGTYACTGCTCCAGAAATACATGGCATTTTATGCCTACTAAACTTCATTTCCAAGTTTCAAGCAAGTTTCAATCCCATTGTCCCTTTAAAGTTTCTTATTAGTAATGAACCTGCATGTTGTATAACAGCATCTGTCCTTCTAGACCAATAATTGTCATTGTAAATGCATTCTGACGGGAATCTGCCAGTAGAGATTTCTGTGAACATATTTCTGTGTATCCATGTGTCTGACAGGCAGCCTTGATAAGAAGGCAGAGTTAGTTACAGTGGTTCTGAATTTAAAGTGTTAATGCAGTTGGGCAAGAAAATAATTTTTGTGCTTCTCTGTTTTGCAGCATCCAGATGAGAAGAGGCTGGAAGGCCTCTCCAAGCAGCTGGACTGGGATGTACGCAGCATTCAACGTTGGTTTCGACAAAGACGCAACCAGGAAAAACCCAGCACCCTTAGGAAGTTCTGTGAGAGCATGTAAGGATGCGTTGTTCTGTTCTTGACTCTTGTTGAGCCT